AGTACACACTCTGCTTTGACTCCAGATTCTCGATGCAATCCCGCACCCGGAAGTCTACTGTCTGATGGTCAAGATATCCCTGTGTTGCTGCTTCAATCAGACCTTGATCCTGATACTCTGCCAGTCCCACCTCCTGCAGACCCTGTTCAACGTTGAACCGGAAGTACCGCTTGCTGTTATAATGCTGTCGCCAATTAGCGATAAACTTACTCTCAGAATATTCCGTCTGGGTCGTCAGTTCTGGCAGGGTTTTGGACATAAATTTAAAAAGATTGTCCTCTATAGCCTTTTTTCCCGGGTTGCCAGTTCCGATTGAGATAAAGCATTTTACCAGCGGCTTCAAGTCCCCAGTTTCGCGACACCAGATATCAGATGCCTCGCGCTCTACCTCTTCCACAGGATTATTGGCTCCCAGCGCACCATCCGCGAACCTCCGCGCCCCGATCGAGACTGGATCGAAGAAGGTCGTGGCAGCCGAGGTAGCACGGGCGGCCTGGCAGATCGTAGCAGGAATGTCCGGTTTGCCAGGTACCGGGTAGCTACGAAGACGGACAATGTCCTTGGTTTCCTGGCTAATGCTGCAGACAAATCTGCATTTGTTAGTAGAGTTATAGATCATTGAGTATAGACTTACACCCGACAGCCACGCTTTATCTGATTATTAAAAAGATCCGTTGGATTCGCCCCACGGCTGCTGACAACTTGATTGATTGCTTCCTCAAGCTTGCTCGCATCAAATCGTGGCTCGATATTACCAAACAGGCTTGCAGCAAGGTTCCATTTGGCCGGCTTCCGAAAGATCTTCTTCATCAGTTGGATGTATGCTACAATGCATTCATCGACATCCATCTCCAGCCGACCAAGCATGATTGCGATCAGTCTGTCTCTGTCAGTGTTGCTACTACTTTTCTCTAGCACTTACAAATCTCACCCGCCTGTACTGGTGCCTCCGATCAGATCAAAGACCTCGCATGGCTTCTTTGGTGGCGAGCCGTCGGCCCGTTTCAGGTTCAGCCGGTCCATCAAGCCCTTGAGGATGTAGAGCGTTGACAGCCCGCGCACGCCGCCGCCGTCGAGGGACAGCAGGCACAGGCCGCTACTGTCCAGCGGGTTCGGCTCTCCGTCGTAGATAGCGACTGTTTGTTCCATATCGTGGAGCTGTACTGCAGTCCGTGTAATTGTCGAACCGAAAAGCGGACAGCAAGAGAGATTCAAATCTCCGAGATGATACACCAGGCTCCCAGCTCGGCTGAGGGTGCTCAGGTGGGGTATCCATGCCTCGTCACGCCTTAGCTGTGTGATAGAGTATACATCCCTGTCCTTACCCAATAATATCTCACAGTTATGCGCCGAGATATCTCTGACAAGAATTGATGCATGTACTAGGACTAGAGGGACAGCAGGTAGACCAAGGTATCTAGAGTTTTGTCGTGGATAGTGGTGGGTCGCCCTATGCTTCAATCAACTTGATCAATTTATCCTTTGAATAAAAATGAAGATGGTAGGTCAGGATCTCGTGCCTGTTTCAAGAAATCCCAGGATGACTTATTCAGCTATGCCTGCCTTCGTGAGTTCCCTGCCTGAGGCTGTGACAATTGTCATTCGTACAGCAGAATATTCTGGTTACGGGTTGAGCCGGGAAAGCGGGCGGCCCGCAAATCTGTTCGCCAACCTTGTTACGGTCGCAAATCATCCCGTCTACAGATGGACAATACTGTAACTAGGTAGGCAGAAACTACGGGCGGTCTGATGTTGAGAGCGGCAGGCCTGCTAACCACTTCCATGGAAGAACAGAGAACCTCTCAGAATGTGCCAAGAAAGTTAGCCACTAGTCAGAAGAATAGTGGATGCTGCCTGATCTGCTGGGTCGATCTCACCTCCCACCCACCACGTTCGATCTCGACCCTCGCAACCACCCCGCTGTTCGAAGTAGGTTCGACGCATTCGTGGTTCCTTGGATGACCATCGCCACGGGTGAACGATCACCCCTAATTATATTTTGAACAAACAGCACTTACCAATAGGCCATGACCTCGGACATTCAAGTTGCTTACAATTCAGTTATCGCATGGGACCAGTCCTCTCAACATGCCCCGACACCTGGCTTTTGGGACCGTGGTTCTGCTACGCCCTCAGTTATTAGTACTGATCGATATCCGGGTGGCGATCCCCCGGTCTTCGAATCATCCTTGGCTCGGGCAGACCGACTTCCTCTTCTTGACCTCGCTGATTGGAGCGAGGGAAACGCTTATGATGAACAACCGCCTTCCTGCATCCACTATTCCATCGAATGGAAGGTGACTCTGAACAATAGAATCGTGGCCAAAGATACCGAGCAGGATTTGGTCCTAGCGCCAAAAGCCTACTGGAGGCTGTTCCTGAAACCCAAGCTGTTAGAACTGATTGGTAGAAAGTTTTCTCGGAAGAGAGTGGAGTCTGATGATACAACAATCGTGGTATCAGTCAATCAACGGTCGCAGCGAGATCTGACTCGTCGATTCGATCAGACAGACATAGACTGGTCTGCTATCGAAAAGCAGCTTCTTGCTTGGGGAGAACTCTTCTCTACTGGTAAAAGACTACGTCTACTGATTTCCTTCGGCTACATTGAACATGGTCCGTCTGCCCTTTCCACATCACAGTCTCCAGATAAACGAGGCCGGTCCTCGGTGACCCAACGTATGCTTGTCGCCAGAGATACCCAGATTAGTGCCGAGGAAGGCAGTTCTGAGCAGGTTTCAATTTGGAAGCACGTTTACAGTGTTATGCGGTGCCCTGGGGCACCCTGTGAATTGGGACCTCATTGCTGGCGTGATCCTTTCGGCAAGAAGCATTATAAACTTGGTACGCACCATCTAAGAAGTCTGATCAAGTATGTAGAGCAAGGAGGCGAGTTGGATACCCATGACGATGTTCCCCATGACCTTCGCGAGAGTCTTTATCGCGAGGAACAGCAGCGGCTCGATAGAAAGAGCATCTCGAATCAGTCCGCTGTTACCACGTCGTGTCCTCCGATTAATATCACAAATGTCCTTCCGTCGCAATCTCCAACTAGAAGCCCTTCTCTATCGACACAAGACGCTCCCGTGAGAGACTCGGGATACTTAAATATTCCGGGTCTCCGAGATGTAGCCGTGGAAGAATATAGTGACTGGCAGCAATCACAAGTTAGAAATGAGGCATTGAAAGCGGAGTTCCGAAAAGCGCGAGATGCTGCATTCTCCGAGGGCCTCGATCTTGGGCAGATATTTAAAGACCAGGACTCGGCCTTTTTCATCAAGCAGGGTGTAAAAAGAGGCATCGCGCGACGATTTGTTACTGATATTGATTACTGGGTGAAACAATGTAAATTAGATTTGGTCGGAGGCGAAGAATTGCATTTTTGATATTGAAGCCAAACTCCCATGAGGGACACAGTAGTCAGGACCCTAACACCCCCGAATCGCCTTGGTATCTGAGATACGCGAGACGGACTATTCCTTTGATTCTTCAATAGTCACGCCAGCATGTCTAAAGTGGCCCTGCGCGTTGAGCTTTCGTGCACCTACGATGTCCACGCACCACTCGAGGAAAGTATCGAATCCCTGGCCCGGGTCCTGTGTGTATGCTTGCCAATTGCGTCTGATGAATCGTTTTAGCTCGCCAAAGAATTCTTCAATGGGATTCAGATCTGGGGAATACGGAGGCAAGTAGATCAGCTTGACGCCAGCAGCAGAGCACATGGCATCGAGTCGATCGGTGTGGTGAAAAGATGCGTTGTCCATAATGATGACAGACTTGGGCTCGGGCCACCGGCCACAATGCTCGAGAAGCTGTTCAATGAAGTCTTCGAAGAGAGCGGCATCAGTAGACCCCCGGAAGACGCGAGACAAGATAATCCCGTCTTGAGCATACGCTGGAAGAATTTGATACCGCTGGTCTCGTTGGAATTGCGACACCTGGACCGGTGTAACGCCAAGAGGAGACCAGCCGGTCCGCCGAAATCCTGCTCGTTTGTCGCACCCTGATTCATCAACGTAGACGAGGTGATATGATCGAAATTCAGAGAGATTATAGAGGTAGAAATCCCGTAGATCAGCATTGCGCTGCCTGGCAATCTGGCGGGATGTTTTCTTGGACCAATTGACAGACTTCAGCGCGCGACCAATACTATGGACCGTAACCAAAACGCGAAACTCATCCCATAAGAACAGTACCATCTCATCTTGGTACATATCTGGCTTTTCAAGGAGATGGTCGCAAAGAGCATTGAGCATTGACGGGGTGATACTGCGGCGCCGGCCGACCCCATTGGGAGGGGCTCTTACATCCCCAAAGCACTCCAGATTCGAGCGAATGGTTCTTACTGAACGGGAGCTACAGTCAGCTATCTTCGCGATTTGAGAGGCGCTCAGTGGTGGGTCGGTCGTCAGTGCGTCACGGATGAGTTCAAGTTGTGAGGCTGCGAGTCTGGGCGCCATGTTTCCAAATCACCTTCGACGTGGCACTGCTTGAACCGCTCTCTGAGGGAGGCGGGTTGTGAGATGCTGTGCGGAATTTCATCGGGCCGAGAGAGGGGCCTTACCAGCTGAAACTCACTAAATGTCGATATTGTGCTTAGCCAATTCAGAGGCGTGACGCTGAGCCTGCCACAGATGGACGAATCAACTGCGGCCGATGAGGGAATGGCCTTGAGACTATTGGTTGATCCCATGCAGTGTGATAAGACTGCAGGGAGGGGTCTTGTGCTACACAGGCGTTAAATATATCCCACAGCCACTGGACTGGTGAGAATTCTCCCATGGTTGGTCTTCTCTTGTTCGTCTTATCCTCCGAGCAGATTTACCCATCTGAGATAAAGTCTCCAGCATGCAACAAGTAGAACCGATGTATGGCGGAGAGCCGAACCCGGTGGACAGTACCGGCCTGTGCCTGCTGTCCCTCGACGGCGGCGGCGTGCGCGGGCTGTCAACGCTCTACATCCTCAAGGGCTTGATGGACCGGCTGAACCTAAAACAGGCCGACGGCTCGCCACCAAAGAAGCCATGCGAGGTCTTTGACCTGATCGGAGGCACCAGCACAGGCGGGTGAGATTCGCGATTACCTGAGAAGAATAGTTGCAACACTGACAGAGACAGACTGATTGCAATCATGCTGGGTCGACTGGAGATGGATGTCGACGAATGCATTGCGGCATACATCCAACTGATGAAAAAGATCTTTCGGAAGCCGGCCAGATGGAACCTCGCTGCAAGCATTTTCGGCAACATCGAGCCCCGGTTCGATGCCAGCAAGCTTGAAGAAGCGATCAATCAAGTCATCAGCAGCCGTGGGGCAAACCCAACCGATCTTTTCAATAATCAGACGAAGCGTGGCTGTCGGGTGTAAGTCTATACTCGATGATTCATAACTCTACTAACAGATGTAGATTTGTCTGCAGCATTAGCCAGGAAACCAAGGACATTGTCCGTCTTCGTAGCTACCCGGTACCTGGCAAACCGGACATTCCTGCTACGATCTGCCAGACCGCCCGTGCGACCTCAGCTGCCACAACCTTCTTCGATCCAGTCTCGATCGGGGCGCGGAGATTCGCGGACGGTGCGCTGGGAGCCAACAATCCCGTGGAAGAGGTAGAGCGCGAGGCATCTGATATCTGGTGTCGCGAAACTGGGGACTTGAAGCCGCTGGTAAAATGCTTTATCTCAATCGGAACTGGCAACCCGGGAAAAAAGGCTATAGAGGACAATCTTTTTAAATTTATGTCCAAAACCCTGCCAGAACTGACGACCCAGACGGAATATTCTGAGAGTAAGTTTATCGCTAATTGGCGACAGCATTATAACAGCAAGCGGTACTTCCGGTTCAACGTTGAACAGGGTCTGCAGGAGGTGGGACTGGCAGAGTATCAGAATCAAGGTCTGATTGAAGCAGCAACACAGGGATATCTTGACCATCAGACAGTAGACTTCCGGGTGCGGGATTGCATCGAGAATCTGGAGTCAAAGCAGAGTGTGTACT